GGGGGGGGGAAAGCGAGTAGAGATGAAGTTAAAATTCATTAGTATTATTTTTGTAAAGTGGCAATGCATTTCAGACTAATAGGATTCGTATCACACGTTTGATAAAATGCAGACACCCGCGCCGATTAAGATGCAAAACCAACACACATCAAATCACGTTTTTACTTAGAACAACTATATAGGGTGCGGAACAGCCTATAGCTGATGAACTCACAGGCGGCCCAATCTCGCAAGGGTCAGTATAGACTTATAGTATAAATGTATATTATAGTAATGTATATTATAGTAAAAATATGTCGTAAAATATAAATTTTAAAATGAAATTAACTTGCCTATTTGATAGTGTGTGTTCTCCTTTTATTCCTCCTTTGTTGGACTAATATTTTCCGAGATTTTGTACTCGATGTTACTAGTATACATAAAACATGATAAAAGCAAACGATTTCCGCTCGTCGATCCGACGGCACGGCACTTCGAATCGAAAATTCTCTGACTTAAATCGGTTTATTCTCCACAAAAATTGGCCAGCGTGTACAACAGATGTCGTTCTTCGAAAATACGGAGATACTTCGGAGAGATGTACAAGTTTTGGACCATATTTTAACAATGGAACTCAAAACCCATTTTATATTGAACTTGCCCAGGCCGAAAATTTCTACGGCGAACGTCTGCGCAACCAAGCCTCCTTTACCGTTGGATTTACAGGGGGGGGGGGAGATATTTCCGGTAACAGCCAGCCAATCGCAACCGTGATAACGCGGTTTACATTATTTGAAATTTGACATTCAAAATAAAAACTCCTTCGATCGGATACTGTATAAAACTCGAGATGTTGTCGAAGAAGAGAAAACTAAACGACGGACATTGTTGGAATTTAAGGAAGAAGAAATATACAGCGGCACTTTGTTGGAAAGCATGGTAGAATATTATACTTTAATTCGAAATATGATCGTTAATATATCAGTGGTATCCTTTCCGCTGTAAATCTCAACGGTAAGGAGGCCTGGTTGCGCAGACGTTCGCCGTAGTAATTTTCGGCCTCGGCAAGTTCAATATAAAATGGATTTTGATTTCCATTGTTGAAATATGGTCCAAAACTTGTACATATATTTTACGACATATTTTTGCTATAACATACATTAATACAATATACATTTATACTACAAATCTATACTGACCCTTGCGAGATTGGGCCGCCTGTGATGAACTGAAACTTTTCTTGGTCAATTTAATTTAAACACATTTAAATTTACTCTGATTCTAAGTATTCTACTTTATACTATTTCCACGCTTTAGAAATATCCAATACTATCCAAGAGCAATTAAAACAATCTGTATACCAAAAGCAACACAATACCCGAATTCTGACACGTCCTCTCAATTGATGCTATTAGTTGTTAATATTGTGCTAGCCTATATATTTTCCTAATTATTGCCCGGAGTAATTGCATGTCTCACGCTGTCGCGGTCTGCCTGCCTGGTCTTATGTCTTGTTATGGTTGTTATCATGTGGTGTATTATTGTACAATTGCGAATCCAATCAATAAATAAAATAATGAATGTATTGCTTCACTTCATTTAATATATTCACAGCGAAAGTTTCCTTGAAAAACCTAGCTATAAATATTCGATATAGGCAAACGTGCTAGTTGATATGTAGCCCTATGCCAATGTAACGTTAATTGTTATACACATTTTTAAAGGAGTTCCCCAATAAAAATAGCATGGAATTGTTTAGCAACTATAGTTTACCTTATTAATAAGTTTATCTGTATAGTGTGACACATAATAGTGAGAAAAAATGGGCGGTCTAATATTGTCGTTCAGACAGTAATTTTTGAGTGTCGAAATTACTTTATTAGTGTGTATAGAACGCAGTATGTGGGTAGAATAATAATTTTTTGACTAAGATAGTAGACAGAAGATGGATCTACATAATTATGTTGAAATAGAACGAAAATTGGGAACAGACGAGTAGCGATAAAACTTTTTTTACTAATTTCGAAAAATTGAAAATGTATTTTAGTTTTAAATGAACGAGTTGCATACCTATGAACATTTGTTGAAATTTACCCCCCCCCC